TTACAAAAAAAAAAAAATACGAATTACATTTTTATACCATACGTATTGTGTGTTCCAACTATGGAGCAATAACACAAGAGGACTGCTAATCTCCATCTTAGAAGACTTGATCAGTAGCATGGAAGTAGTTTATATTATATAAAATGGCCGTAGATATCAATTAATTTTTCTTTTATATGAAATATATAAGAAGTTATTTTTTTGCTTGTAATGTTATTCAAATATTGATCATAAGCTAAAATTAATTTTGTGAATTTTGACAAATATGTGTGTCAATAGATGGCGTTGTAAGTAACAAACTAATTTATAAATTAACGCTTCCTAATATGGGTAGATGGCGCTAATCCTAAACATAATGAGGGTAATTTTCAGGTAAGTTATTTGTACTTAATTTTGGTGACAATTTCTTTTTATTTAAATATTTCTAGAATATCATCATGAAGTATTATTTAATATTCGAGTGTGGTAACCTGAAATATTCTTTAATATTTCACGATGATATATTCGAGTAATTAAGTAATGAAAATTGTCACCAGAATTGAGTTCAAAAAACTTACCTGAAAATTACTGATAAAAGAATAGCAGGCACCATCCTTAAAAATTTGTGCAATAAGCGCCATCTTTGTTTGTAATGCGCCATCGTTGATTTGTTTGTTATCATCAGAAATTAGAGTAGCTTTGTTAAATTGAAGCTTATCATCGTAAAACAAATTGTTACATAAATAGATATTTGGTACTCGTCGCGACATCTGGTGTACCAACAGGTATTAAATATCCGGTTACGCTGTCTTATATCGCGATTAGCAGTCTCTTGAGTGATTGGTCTATGGTTCCAACCTTTATCTAACGTTAAAGCATTTTGTTATCGTTTGAGTATTTTTAAATTTTTTTTTCTACTAGTTTTCTGTTTTGTTATTACCAGCCTTGTACTAATAAATGAATTAATTATGCCATTGTCCGCACCTTTATATAATACTGTATATTCGTACAGATTAAAAGCTCTTAGTAGCCTTAGTGAATGGAAATTAAAATTAATTAATCATATAAAATTTAAAAGTAACGCAATCTAATAAAGCCATTTTTAAACAATAGACTTGTATACAGGCAAGTCAAATAATTTAAAACAATTTTTAACAAAATAATACAGCTTCATAAGAATGCCGAATCACTATTTTTTAGTAAATAACATTGTAACTTAGATTATACTTCAGGTTCATAAATATATATGACACAAAAATAAAGTACATACATTTGGAATGCCATACAATGTAAACCTTGTAAACGATCAAATTTTTTGTGCTTGTCAAACGTTTTGGTCGTGTGGGATGCGTTTGCCAAATAATTTATTGTTATTCTTCCCTAATAGCGGCGGCTAGGCTAGAGTCAGTGCCAGTTTCGTGTTTGATAGCAATCTACATTGATAGCGTTTTTAAGACAAATATGAACGTTTGCAGGCATGTTTGTCAAAACTAGACGTAAAAAAATTAGATGTAACTTAAAAAAAAAAATTGGACGCTTATAGAAGCGCTGTAGTGCCGCCACAGTGGCGCTGCAACCCCACTACTAATTTTCATGCAATATTTAAAAGCGCAGCTGCAGCGCCACTGCCGTCACACTGAGTCGCTTCTACAAGTGTCAATGCACAAACTACTAATACAAGTGTCAATGCTAAACATAAACTACGTAGTGGGAGCATTGGGTAGAGGGGCTCTATAAATAATAAAACCCGTATAAGCGAGATAGATTTATGCACAGACATGTCAGAGTAAACGAGAAAACAACATTATTTTTTGTCCCTTTCTACGTATGCGGTTTTGGTTGTATGACTCAACGCTCGTTGAGTCCAGCAAATCCTTCCGAGTGTTTGATGTGCATCGATTTTATGTGTTTGTGCTTTTAAGAAGTGTTTTACAAAGTTACTAACCGTTCCTTTGTAGTAATTGACAATTATTGCAGCTCACAATAATGGTGCATTGTTATATTTTAGGCTGTAAAAGCCGTACGGAAAGAAAAATTTCCAACATAACCTTTCACACGTAAGTTTTAATTTTTCAATACAATCAATGAATTTTCTTGTATGAATTACTAGTGAAATACTCTAACAAGCCTGGAATATTACGATTTCATGTATTTTAGATGATATTTGAAGTGTTTTTCTTGATTGAAAGATGTTTGTTTGCATCGTATAAAATATGTCCATCTCGCTTCTAAAAGCAGTGGTTATGATACGTAAAAAAGAGAGATCAAATAAATAACGTATAAATTAAATTAGACAGGCTTAAGCTGATTTTAGGGATACCGTGCTTTTGCCACTATCTGTTCCCCAATTTATGAGTCATTTTAAATATGTATTTTTACTTTTCAATACTTTTTCAGTTCGAAATATATATACTAAGTTAATACTGTTCAAGGGCCAATAAAAAAGTAATGATTTGTCATAATGGTTTTATTTGGTTACTAAAACTCAACCAAGCCAAATGTGGTCACCCTCATTAGACTCGGCAGATTTTATCATTATCATGAACTCATTTATACGTCCCACTGCTGGGCACGGGTCTCCTCTCAGGCGAGTGCTTAGGCGACAGTCCACCACACTGGCCCAATGAGGGTTGGGGACTGCACACGTTTTCCGAGGACTTTGAACCTTCTTCAACATTTCATCACGATGTTTTCCTTCACCGAAAAGCTCATGATAAATTTCAAATTAAATTTCGCACAAATTCCGAGAAACTCAGAGGTGTTGTTTGTGAGGAGAGTCTGGATTCGAACCCACGACCTGCTGCTTGAGAGGCAGTAGGTCAAACCATTAGGCTACCATGGCTTCATTATCATTTCAATTTCTTTAACGGGGTAAAATTTTAAAAGAACCCAGAATTTATAGGTACTCTGTTGGTATCCCTTTTCAGTATATGCGAGAAGCTTCTCTATTCTTTTTCTTTTATTCTCCCTCTACGATAAACTAGGACATCCCTATGACACTCATTTGACGTTTGTCATAGGGATGAGGTAAAGTCGATAGATTTTTAGTGTATTTGATTTTTGAAGCACATAATCTTACTTATAGTATTATTTTTTTGACGTGTTCTCAACGACGTATAGCTGTGTGTGTTTTGTATTGAAGGCATAAATCACGCAACTAAGTTTCAAATGCAATTTCAATAGATATTTTAGAAAATTTAAAAATACATTTATCATATTATTAATTTACAGGTTTCAAAAAGTAATAACATTGACATGTCAATTCAATACTTATTAAAATTTCATACTTTAAGAATGAATTTGATTGATTTGGTTAAACTTTTAATTAAATAAAGGCTATTCATCGAGTTCTTTGGTTTTCGCGATTGTAAAACATAGGCAATGAAACTATTTTTCCGGACATTTCCGTCGTTCGCCATAATTATTATAGTATTTTTACAGAACTACCGTACAAAGTAATTTTAACCATGACAATGGCAAAATCATCGTGGCAATCGATGCAGCCATTACAAAAAAAATGGAATGGACTGGAATTTTGTAGATTCTCTTCTCAGCGAAGTCTGATTGCATCGATGGAGCTATAGCACTTAAAAAAAGAAGGAGATTGAAGGGTAAATTTTACAGGCAAATTGGATCGTTTACAGAGTGCTTAAGGTTTAGAAGACATCCACACCACACCATTGACTTTCGCTATTTCATCATTCTCATCATTGGCGACGTCAATAACGTCGCATTAATGTCAATCAACGTACATAGCGTTGTTTGCTACGTCAAGCAACGTACACGTTTCACTACTGGGCACGGGTCACCTTTAAGGAGTTATATAACAGGTAACATTTTGTCTTTTAACGTTACAATAAAGCTAATTAAATACCTAGCTAGATATATAAGGTCCAATGTCACAATAAAGATGTAGTAAACCTAAAATGGGGAAAATGGAGTGCTGCTTCCGTTCAATTCGCTTACCACGTGTTAATAATAATAAACTGCCTAGCAATTAGAATATCAATAAAGATAGCCTTAACATGTGTAAATCAGGCTCAATAGATAATAAGTTGTGTTAGGTTCATTAATATAAAAAATAAATAGAGAATGTTAAATGAAAAAAGTGGCAACTTTGGCAACTGGGGATTTTTGGTTGGGTTAGGCTGAAAACTCTCGTTGGTTGTTTTAAGTTGGAGGTTTTAAGAGATCGGACGGATATTGTTTTTGGTTATTCGGTGGTAAGATCAGCTCGAGCGAGCCAAGGACGGACCGGCAATTTTTTCAAGTTGAATTGTGTTGTAATAATTCTGTTACCCATATATTATTGATTATATTCTTAAATACTGTGAAAGTGACTTTTATTAACTCACACGGCATAAAAAAGCCCTAAAGACAGAATGTAAATGTCAGCGCAATATCCAGGATCGTATTTTATTTGTCTGTTAGTCTCCAACTAGGGAAATTAACAAGTTCCAAACACTCAAACTAGAAACGTTTAAGAAACTTCTTTGAACTCTGCCACACATCTAGCGTCAATATCGCTCGGCCACAGGGGTTATTATAGGTGAATGGATTTTTATGCGATAACAATGACGTACTATATAGAGTTGATCCTAAAGTAAGCTCGTTTAATCGTAAAAAATTTGTTCTTTTTTTGATGGTAAGCGACATGCCTGTCCATAATAAAATCCAAACATCATCGTCATCATATCCACTGCTGAACATAGGCTCCCCCCAAAGAATACTAGACTAGCCGGTCGGATGCGACAGGCATCCATCGGTTACCCGCCGCCCTTACCACGTCGTCCGTCCATCTAGTACGGGGCCGTCCCACTGAACGCCTTCCGATTCATGGTCTCCAGTCGAATTCTTTCTCAAATCCAAACAGATAAGTCAAAATCTTCACGGCACTACATGTTGGCTCCGACAAAACAGATTGAGTTGAGACAAACAAAATAATGTTGTATTTAATAGAAAAATATATATATATTTATTTCACGTTATAACTCGTGTTTTACAATAGTGGTCTACTATCGTTTTTCGCTGTCACCACAATATAAAGCTTTGTTTGAAATAAAATCTATAGTTTTAAACGTTTTCCTCAACGAATTTGCAAGCTTCGAGCTCAAAAGTATTTAAGTGAAGAATTTAAAACGTTTCAACTTTTAAAATTTGTAAGCCATTCCCATCAATTATATGGCAAGATTATATCTATAGGTAGCCATTTACTACATCAAAATGTTTGTAGGTAGTACATATAAATTGTTACATATTGTAACCGGAAAAAGTACAACTATATTTAGTTATACAGATTCAAATTACACTTACCCGTTTTAGAAGTTTACTGAATCTTTTGTGACAATGTATTACAGAAAATTATTGCGAAAGCTAAAACTAAACGCACCATACCGTTTCGAGAGATCAATAATCTTATTTATTCATTAGGATTTCGTACTCGGGTCCATACTCAATTTAGTTAATAGTCATCTTCTCTTGTAGAATTTGGAAGTAGCATGCCTGGAAAGGAACGGATTCAGATAAAGCTTTTTGTTAATAAATCTGTCATGATGAATGTATGAATGGCTAGAAGCGCAATCGCAGCGCTACGTGATACGCGTGCGCCACTTTTGCAGTCACAATTTTGAACTAATAATTAATGAGGAGTCAGACAGTCGCGTTGTTTGTGCAACCGACTAATTTGAAGGTGTCCTGTAAAACGTTGAGGGAAAAGAAACCTAGGAAAACTCTGTGTCGCGGGTGTCATGGACACATACATACACAACCACAAATTATTCCCAATATAAATGTAGGCCATACAAATATTTCTCCCGGCCTGGGAATCGAACCCGGGACCCCTGTGTGGCAGTCCAGGATGGTAACCGTTCAGTAAGAATTAAGTTATACTCCGTAAAATTCAGCAATTTGACAAGTAGCATTCTAGACACTATATTATCGACAAAAGATATACTTTATTATGGATATTAGCGACAAAACACATGCTACTTTTCTTATTCAGAATTATTAAAACAAAATGAGATCAAAAATTCGTACCTTAAGCGTAGTAAACATAAGCCCTAGCTCTCCGTGTTGCATGCCAGGTTCCAAGAAGTCCTCAACAAAGTGTATCTCTGATCCAAGCTGCAATATCTGAGCACGGACCACTACAAAGTGAAACACTGGGAACAATTCGTCCATGCTCCATAGGTAGCCTGACCCTGAAATGTAATAATAACTATGACTCAAATTAGGAAGTTCTCTATACTAGGAGTACCAGAGCAATGGAATTCACTCCGGGATACAACCCAGAACATGCAGATCAAGTTAAAAAGCTCATTAGCCATATTGCATTTTGCCGGGAATCGAACCCAGGATATTTTCATCCAACCACCGCAATGGGCCACCGAGGTCGTTAATGTGAAAACTTAGTAAATAATTTTCACTGCTTACATAAATTATGTAATTTAAATTTCGACTAAGTGCGATAGGAAGAGGTAAGGAGTAAGAGACAGGCATGTAGAAGCTTTGTGATAAAATATATACGACGTCTATTCAGTACACTTCAGAGCATTGAACCTTGTAATACTTCCCACGCAATGAGTAAATAATTATGTTCGAATAGTTTTGAAGCAATCACACACAGTAGTGGATCTAAAGAAGTTAAGGTCTTGGCATATTGCTCACCTAATTCCTGCTGCACAGCTGTAGTCATCTTCTGGAAGGTTCTCTTGATAACAAGTAGCTTCTCGATAGGTGAGAAGGTCGTCTTCAACTGCTGCAAGGTCTCCACGGCCTCTTGGAACAGCTGATCTTTCATCGGGGAGTTGCAGTTCGTGTAACCGATCCAGAATTTTCTGACAATTTAACATAGAAGCTTTAGCTATATTGAGTGACTACACTAAACTACTACTGACCGCATTTAACAATAAACAATTTTTGATATATATTTGATTGAATATTATGATCAGTGAACGGAATTGAGGGAGTCAATCTACCTAAAGTATGAACGTTTTCTCAGTATGGACATATCCATTTCGTCATCAATGAATATAAATATTGTTTTTTACTATTTATTTTTTAAAGAGTCCAATAAATAGGTAGTCTCATGTTTATTTTTTAATTGGGTAAAGTATTTAAATACGTACCTATACAAACACAACTACAATATTATTTTTTGAGACAATAATTAATAGCAAATAATAATTTGTCGCCAATATACTCTAAATTTCAATAAATAATACGCATATTCAAATATAGTGAGTTCATAGAAATCCCGGGACTTTTAGAAGGGACTGTCCACGTTGGAAGGGAATATCCACGTTGTTCTTTAGTTTAGCTAAATTAACTTCGTCAATTCCGAGCAATGATCATGATGTATTTTATAAATTAAATAAAAATAAAAATCGTACAAACACAAAGAAAAATTCCTTCGACCTGTTTGTTCGATCTTCTTTTTCCTAGTTTCTTGATTATTGAGCTGACAATTTTAAATAAAAAAAAAAAAAAGATACAGATATAACCACCACGCCTATCTTCTGGGGTATGGGGTAGGTAGAGATAGTGGACTAATAAAGGACTAAAGATTAGCACACGTTGTCAAATCACTGTGATAGGGACAAGTCCCGTTTTATTTTAATATAGATAATTCTACTCACTGATCAATCCCTAAGAAGGCCATAAGCGTGATGTCTGGCTGTCTATTCCACTTGAGTAATCGACGCCAATACAAATCGTCTTCTTTCTTGTTATGAAGCGCGTACAGCACGAATAAGGCAGGGTGCACGCGCGGCAGCAATGTGGGTTGCAGGAGGGATTCCGCCGATACTACTTCACTGGAACATTAAGTCGATGAAAACACTTTTAGCTTATAAAGACTCGAAGTCAAGGCCAGTTTTAGAAAAAAATCATGATTTCACATTTCTTCTCAAACGTCATGTTGACAAGTATGACCAGCTATAGACGGTCCCTGACACGTATGTATATGTATTCCGGGAAGGCTGTAGGGAAGGGTTGTGTCAAGGGTTACAAATGTTCTTAAGGTTTCTTGAGTCATTCTGTATCTCTGTCATATGACGTACTACAGGATAGTGCCCTTGGGCCTAACCTATTTCTAATCTACATTAATGACTTGTGCAAACTAAAATTGATGTATTTAAAAGTTGTAACTAATGCTGATGATACTGCTATAATTGGTCATGATGACACTTGGGATAGTGCCCATTCTCACGCTGAGACTGCAATGCGCGTAGTCAAGCTTGGCTTGTGAACAATCTCCTGACTCATAATTTAGACAAAACAAAATTAATTAGCTTTGTGCCGTTACTAACATTACAACCGTATATATTTTTTGCAAGTTAACCAATTTAAACTATTTTAAACTAAGATCTGGCGGTATTTTTTCGTTTTGAAAATGGTATTTTATCAATCACCTTACTTTACTTACTTACTACCTTACTACTGCATTAACATAAAAAAATATCAATTGGAAGATCTCATTCCAATGCCACCGGAGTTGAGCGTTAATAGCTGCCGCAGTCTTATTGACTACAGTAGCTATTATTGTACAAATACTTATAATGTAAATGTTGTTATAATTCCAAATACACTTTCCTTTTCTAGACGACTTCAACCGCTCTACCAACTAACATGACAATTAAGATAATAATATCACAAAAATTACATTTTATTACCTATATCCATTGACTATTGATCGCAATCGATATGACGTACCCATTGACTTACAATTATGTATATGGACGTCGGGTCCGCGCTAAAAAGTGTCCGCACTTGTAAGGCGGTAAAATCGTATACAGAGCGCGACACTCCGCTTTAGTCTTCATTTGTTCTACAGACAGCGCGATACTGCGATGACATTACAATTTAAATTTCGAATAGGTTGACTTGGGACATTTTTTTCGTGGTTTTTGTATTAGACCCGTCGTCCATTTATTTGTAAGTAAATGCCTATATCTCAAAAATTGCATTATATGCATGTCATTCGTATACGATTTCATTTCAAAGTGACAATGTTGTCCAACATTGTCATTATAACACAATTTTAAAGATAATACTGTTTTTGTTGTTAGTTGTCATATGCGTAATAAGAAAAAATAGTAAGGGACAAACATTGGCCTACCAACAATTGGACATCGGGTCTACGGGTCTAACACAAAAACCACGAAAAAACTGTCCAAGGTTAACCTATACAAACGTAGTGACATGTAACGAAAAATAAAAAACTGAAATATTTAATTTAAATTGTAACGTCATTGCAGTACTGCCTAAATTTGCTTACAACAATTTAAGGGCTCAAGAACACCATATTCAGCTTCTACTGGCAACTTAACAAAATGCACCATATTTAGCTTCGACTGAAAATTACTTGAATCATTACACAGGAGTAATGGAATAGCCTTTCTCGTAAATATAAATTTTTTATATACATATATTATTATGTCGAATTTTATACAAATTCACTTAAAGGTATAATAAAGAGTTGGGCAGATACATACATACAATTATTACTACAAATGTGAAAATAAGCGTGTACTATAAGAAATGTACTATTATTCTAACTAAACGTAAACTCAAATATCCGTAATTCCGATTTATAACAAAACCGTTACGCTTTCGAGTAATTTTGATGCTTTTTACAAACAAGATAAAATTAGCTTTTGTTTTGTAATCTTCGTAAAAACACATTATGAAAATTCGAGCTAATGTTATTTCGGGCAAATGTATTTTCTGACTTCTGATAGGCAATCCCATGCCGTAAAACGAGTACAACAATATTTTGTTAGTTATTGCTAACGTTTAATTAAAAAATCATTTTAAAAATAGGATTAAAATCAAAGCAACTCTACAGTTTCTTTGTTCTAAATATATCAATCGCTTGTGGTTCGAACAATTGAAAATGACCAAGAAGTTTATATAAGCTTCTTGTAACTGACGCAATGGGTCTCTTTCCAACTTTTGAGCATGCAATGAGTAGAAAAAGGACAGTTAGCTATTTCATTATTTCGTGTGCTTTTGTAACTTATATTTACGATTCAGTTATACATAAATTAAATACTATAAAACTGTACAAAATAACACTTTTAAATGACAACTATGATAACACAATATATTTGTTTAGTGAAAATATGATACAAAATCCTGTTTTCACACTTTACTGCAGTAATTTTTACAAGTTATTATTTGTACTGCATATATTGGTACTGCATGATTGACAACCGTTTGTCACTCGAACAAACGAAGACTATTGCGCGATTGACACTCTGTATGCAATTTTAACGCCCTACAGGTGCGGACACTTATAGGCGCGAACACGACGTCCATTTATTGGTAGGTCAATGGTCACAAAAGACATTACAGGTTTCCTTGACGACGGGACAAATTTCAAGAGACGATTGTGTTTCTGAACCCAAGTTTTTTTGTACAGGAAGAAACTCCTTTAATACGCGGGAAAAAATAGCTGTAATTTTGATCATGTAGCTCTGAACAAGTTTCTCGGAACAGCTGATTTTCAAGTCAAGGTGTATGGACCCGTTTCTATAGATAAAGTTTTTCATGTACACAATCGCAGTGAAAAATTTGTAACGTGACAAACGAGTTTGTCTATATTTAAGTGGCCCGGATTCACTGAATAAATTTTACAGTGCTCTTATCACTTGATTAATATCTTATGCGTCATAATGCCGGGCGGGGCTCCTCGAAGGCAACACTCAATTACGCTGGACAACTTTCTCGGTCATGCACACTTCGTCAGGATGTTTATACAGTTTATTGTATAAAGATTCAGAGGGACGTCAAATGTAGAGGTAAGACGTACCCTTGGTATAATAAAGCGACAAGGAGTGGCCGATTTGCCTTAAGGCAAAGGTGGCTCGGGCCTGGGGCGGCTAGGTTTTAGGGGCGGGCAATTGTGACAAAAACCGAGTTTTGTAACACATTGTAAAACATATATAATATATAAGAATGACCCATACTTAAATAAATAAAATCTTAAATGTTTTATTTAAATCTGAAACCTCCGCAAATATTAAAAACTAGCAGCTATTATAGTTAACTAAATTTCTGAATTGATTTAGATAAAAGTTGGCAATAAAGTAAATTCATTATGTAGTACCAGTATATTATGATGAGTGCTGAGAGAGGGGCGGCTGGTACTAACTACATAGCCTGGGGCCCAGGGCGGCCATGACTGCAAATCCTCTACTGGCGACTAGTGACCATACGAACAGCAAGAAACAAATATATGCACCTATATGCGAAATTCTATAGCTTTCCTATTTAAGCATAAAAAGTAATCGACAATTTCGTTCATAGAATCTTTCGACTTCTCTACAGAAATGTTGTAATTTTACAAATGTGGCCTTATTACATCAAAGGTACGAAGTAGTAAGCGAGATAAACTGTGTTTTTTTAATAATTATTAATAACAAATATCGAACACAGTATTACACACTATCGACAACATTAGTCGGCAGAGTTACAAGCACAGACATACATACATATCTAGATAGACGCCGCAAGTGGTTACAAAAATTGAAGCGGATATGGGTTATGTTTTTTGTATCTAGTGGAGCAAGAAACATTTTTGACGTAACTCCACTTATGCCATTCTTCCATGAGGGGCGCGAAATGGTTTAATTATGTAATCACATCACTCGCGAAACGTAAGGATTATTTCTAACTAATAGGATATTACTAATACATGAAACAGGGTATTTTTGTCGGAATCACAATCATAACGCAACTGCAACTGTTTACGAACTCCGTGGCCGAACGGTTACCATACCGGACTGCCACGCAGAGATCACAGGTTCGATTCCCGGGCCGGGAGAAATATTTGTATCGCCTACATTTATTTCTCTCGTGAGTTTGGGTGTAATTCGTGGTTGTCTATGTGTGTGTCAATGGCACCCGCGGCACAGGGTTTCCCTAGTGCGGGGCTATGTTGAGTATGTGTGTTGTTATTATTATTATAACTGTTACTCAATAACAATGCACGTTTGTAGCGCCATCATTAATATTGGATGTTGAAACCAATTACGTTATTAAACGAAAAAGGAAAGTTTCCATGTACATTTATGAACGTAAATTATGTATCCTAATTATTTGTAAACTTTGATCCTATCTGTTTTTAATCTTAGTTTGTCATGTTAATCATTCTGAACCCAGCTCTCTCAATGGAATTCAACGGCAGAAGTCCACAATTTATACTGTTTTGTGTGCAGTAAAGTTTAAATATAGAAAAAAAAGAAAAAAGATTACTTTCGGAAAATAATAAATAAATTAAATACCATTGAAAGGTTATGAAAATAAGTATAAATTCGAAAAAGCAACATTTTCGTTTAGTAAAGGTATTGATTTCAACGTGTGAATGTATAAATATGTGTTGTTCGTAAAGCAATACCGTTACTAAACGAAAAAGTCAATTTCGGAAAATGGCATTTAAAGAAGGATGGCGAAAGCTGACCCAATAATCATAAAATCAACGAAGAGCCGTTCATGGAGTTTGCTAGTATAATTTTACGTTTTAGTTTACGCCTAGTTAACAACATATTTTATATATTTTTAGAAGTCGGGAATAAAAAAATTGTAGAGCAATGTATTTTAGAATAAATGCAAAAACACAACACAATGCCAATGTCAATGTCACATTGATAATGAGAACAGTGGGACCATTTGTGGCAGATTTCTGCCATTTGTGCAGATTTGATTTTTGTTCATTTTCATTGCGGCAGAACATGTTAACGTTGTATTAAATGAGGCAGAGTTTGGCAGATTTGGGAATATACAGCAAGTTCCTTATTATTTTTGGGAACAAACTGAAAACTTGTTGTTTTCTACAACTACGAAAAACAGCTGAAGCAAAATACAGGACAATGTTATAAACTTAACCTATATCAGCTTCATAACCCCAGTTTCTACAGGCTATACTCAATTAGCTTTTTGATGCTTTAATAATAAATCACAGGAAAACACTGGGTCACAAAATACACGGAATGTCGCGATGCTTCTTTATGAAAATATTCTAAATATAATATAATTTTCGTTTATAATATTGGTTTCAATGTGCAATATGAGAAAAAAGCTAAAGTGCATGACACCTACATATCACAGATAGCTTGTTGAATTTGTAAGATAATTTACAATTAGTTTTAGGATAAGGTAGAAGTTATATTATGAGGTGATCTTACCCATCTATAGGATTCTGTGAATATAGCGAGGGAGTGCCTTCAGTTTCGTTGTCTTCTTCCACTTCCGGGTCATCCATTTGGTATGGCAGCACTAAGTCAATGCCCTCTAGCGGCAATGCCGGGAATAATAATCGCACTACCTGTTGCGAAAATACCGTTATATGTTTATAAGTTAACAGTTTATAACTATAAACTTTTGAGTGCACATCTTAACATCTATACAGGTCTAATCAAAGTACGAGTAAAGTTTTGGTGAAATTACAGACACATGGGACTTGTCAACTTACGTCCTGGGACGAACGAACTTTGACGACAAACCTAAACTCAGAACAAAGTAACCAATAGAATTTTGTTGGTATCTTTGTGGTAGTCCAGCCGCCGAGTAACCCGCCAAAGCTTCTTAGATCTGGTACAGTCAAGAGCACCTCAAGCTTGACACTTTGTACTTTGGACCGTTCTTATCGTAAGCGGCATAGAGTTGGATTTAAATCTTAAGTGTTAAGCTTGACGTGCTCTTGACCCTGCACAGTCATGAGTTGTCTATAAAGCAGTAAAAAATGTGATACAAATGCAATCATAGGATGAGTGCATATTGTGATTAATTATTTTTTTTAAACAATTTTAATTTAACCCTTGTTGTTCCGGTATTAAGGTCCAACAAGTTTGTCGACAAAAGGGGATTTTTAAAATTTATTTATTTATTTATATGGTGTCCACCTACCAATTAGTTAGTCGACCAGAAAAGAAGGAAGTACAGGAGATTCTAAATTGCTATAGGCCTTTTTGATTTTGATGATTCTGTTTTGTTGGAAGAGGGTACCTCAGTATTAGTCCCATTTAAATTTGAAGAAAATACTCCACTTCAAATTAGGGACTAGGAATCCGGTTTCGCGCACTAACCCTTAACCGATTTCAAAAAAAGCCGATAAGCAAACTTTCGGCATTTTTTAAATAAAAAAGTTATAATCAATCGATGAAGTAATTATTAGCAATATCGTCAGAAAAATCTTGTAGAAATTATTCCGTGCGCAGCGCGACATAACTGTTACGTAAACTGTCACTCCTCCCGCACCGCGCAGCTACCACAGGAACCGACTCAGTTAACCGGTAGCCCTGTAATATAATTATTCTATGTCACCTGGTACAATCTAGAAGTGATGCTCTTAAGTTCCTTAACAGCATGGCTGAGTAGCAGTGGATGTACTCTCACTCCCCCATAAGTAGTATTAAATGCGTTCGTAAGGCTTAGCACCAATTGTCCCAGAGGATGGTGGTTTGATTCACAGGCCTGGAGAACAGCAAAATGTAAATAGGTAGGTTTTGTATGCCCAGTTAAAAAAGAACCTTAGATGACTTTCGTTGTTTACTGTAACACTACTATTAACTTTGTAAGTTTTGTAATTTATTAATTGAAAAATTTGTCTTCACGAGCAAAGCTTTGTATTTTTTTTAATAAGTGCGCATTTGACCTTCATCTCACCTGATGGAAAGTGACGATGAGGTAGACGATGGAGCATGCACATCTAAATAATGCCTATTCACTTTGAAAAGGCCCAAGTTATACTGTTCAGGGAAAGGCATATTCCCTGCCGGCAGGGGGCCACTCCTTAGCTGTTCGCCATATAAATGCGGAAGCAAAACGCTTCGTGTGAATATTTGGAATATCCACAACATAGGGGTAGAACCCTAGGTGATGGAATGGGGAAGGCGTAATGAAACCCTGCAATTCTCTCGCAAAATGACTGCGAGAAATATTTGTATGTCCTACATTTATTTCTCTCGTGAGTTTGGGTGTAATTTGTGGTTGCTATGTGTGTGTCCATGGTATCCGTGACACAGGATTTCGGGGCTATGAGTGTGCGTGTGTGATTAATTTATTAAACATTCTTTATGATATTATATCCTGTAGAATACCGATAAAAACCGCTGGCAACTTTAAATATCACTAGTTCTAATAATGCAAAAGAATACGTACGATTTGCATATATATTTTCAACTCCCTGTAATCCTCCAACGTCAATGTCGTTTGTCCAAACTTAGGTATCACCTCCAAGCAATCGACTACCTTCTCCACGTAACATTCAGATACTTTAATGTAAATTGCTGCATTGGAATTTATTTTCTTCGCCATTTTATTATGTTTCATCTTTCTCGCGCAAGAAATAGCTACTGCTACGTTTTGCCAGATTTTCACATTGTCTATGGTTTGCGGGGAAGTCCCGTTAGCGAAGTGATTTCCTGTTGGGGTGAGAATTGTCTCTGGTACGCCGAGGGAGTGGAAACATTGTCGGAATATTGCGTTCCATTTTTGATGTGGAGCGACACTTAGTTTGCCGAAGGAGCTGCAAAAGAACAAAACTGGATAAGAAATATGACTACATACCGGATCTCATAATATTAAAAAATTATAATATATATATGCAAGACACAGTTTGATATTTTACAAGTTCATCTATGGCTAAGCCTAAGATCATCGAGTGTACAACCAGAAATAGAGACGAAATAAGGGCCATCCATCCCTGGCAACTCAGGGAAATGGGCCTTATATCACTTTTAAAAATCAACTCTCGTTTGCACTGAAATCACAAATTAGAAAGCTGAAATAGTACAGCGCCAACAACTGACCTGTGTGTATGTCTCCGTATATGCAAAAAATATTCTGTACTTATTGTAATAAAAATAATATCTCTAACTATGAGGAGCTATTCCATTCGGTGGTGTGGGAAAAACAGCAAAACATCTAATTACAAAACAAACGGAATTACATTTCATCAGTAATTAAATATGTAATTTTTAAATTTTCGTCCATTATAGCAAAGCTCAAGACATGGTCGTACTGAAATGAAACAATTGACGACACCCGTCAATTGTTACGAATTCGGGCTGGCCAATAGGAGCGCAGTTGTTACCGGTAATGATATGGCAGAATAGTTTTCAAAGAAATTAAATGACATTTCGTCTCTATTTCTGGTTATATACTCGATGTTATACCTTAGTTATACCTATACTCTAGCCAAATTTGACATAGACTTTTTAATAATAAAACGATACTAGGTCAATGATACTAGGCAACCATGATGGCATAGGAAAAGAACATTTTTTGTCAGTGCTAATTATTTAGGCATGTTTTGCCCACACCACCTACTCGCGTAATTAGAATTTAAGTAGGTAATTGGGTTATGTAGAAGTAATTACTCCTGCCCAATTACGTAGTTTGCGAAGCTCCTAACGATTTATGAATAAAATAATTAAGTTTTTAATATTTGGAATTTGGAAGATAACACTGACATTGAGAGAAAGCGTAGGGCGTTGGGCGTTGGTAGTGCGGGGCGACATGTTGGCCAGTAGGTTTGCAAGGTGTATTAACGATGGACAGTTATCGCTATTTAAAGCTAACTGCCTGACCTTTTGCATCTGCAGCCTATGGGTCCACTAAACACGGAAAGCTCTCAGCTGTCTAAGGGTCGTATTCCAGAACTCTACTCAATACTCAAGTCAGGACTTCAGTATTGCAGTGAGCACTGAAAATCATACTCAAGTCCTTGCCATTAGGGTCGTATTTCTAGTGCTTGAAATCATACTCAAGTCTGCTCAAGTCCTGACTTGAGCATTGAGTAGAGTTCTGGAATACGACTCTAAGAGTCGTGTACAATAATATATTCAGGATGCTGTTGCGGCTGGTGCGATTCTGTAGCGTGTCAGGAATGTTCGCAAACGGTCATGTAGATGGATTTGCCGCCATCATGAAAAAGAGAGCGGCATCTCTGACGTGCAGAGTGCGCGGCAATGGTTACAGCATATCGTGAGTATTATTGCTGGCAGGATCCAGGGTCCATTTCTTGAACACTGGACCAAATTTCATGTAAAGAATTAATAGATTCAAGCGTTAAATTGCGGTAGTCCAAGTTAATAAAAATGGAAGTTAATTAATTTTCTACTTCACGAACCGCTCAGCTATTTTGCACTATTTAACCTTCACTGGTTTCGCGGAGTAGCAAATTAACTAACTTCCATTTTTATTAAACTTCATTTAGGTATATACCTACACGAAACCCAGTACATATTCATAAGTTGTAATTAGTAACATTAATGTGTAATTTTTTTTTCTTTGTTACACTAACCAATATTGATTAATAATCCGGAATAAAGTATTTGAATTTGAATATCTATTAAAATTAATAATAATAACGCATGCACTCATAGCCCCGCACTAGGGAAGCCCTGTGTCGCAGGTGCCATGGACACATACACATAGACAACCAAAAATTACATTCTAACTCACGAGAGAAATAAATGTATACAATACAAATATATCTCCCGGCCCGGGAATCGCACCTGGGACCTCTGTGTGGTAATCCAGCACAGTAAACTTTCGGCCACGCAGACAGTTGATATTTACTATATTAGATAGGTAGCAGGTAATGGCAGATGAAAAAATGATAGATTTTATTTTATAATAATTTACCAGCATCAATTTCCGATTCCGAACTTGAGTTACTACTGGAACTCGAATGATTGCAAATCTCCCTTCAAATAAAATAAATAATTAGGGACGACATAGCTCTGTATAAATAATTAATTACTGATAACTGTTGAATGTCATTTTGAATAACTTACTCGTGATTTGCAAGTTCTATTAAACGAAGTTTATTACAGACTTGAAGATTAGTATTATTAATAGCCTACACGAATTTCGGGTAAAATACTAAAATTGTGATAACTGTAAAAAAGTCCGAGACGAAAACCCTAAAAATCATGTTTTTGTTTCTTCACATTTTGTTCTGCATCGAATTAGACTAGAGCATAGTAGTCAGTGTTAAGTAGTAGTTATAATATTAAGTTTATTGCATGTGACATTTTACTACCACGATATTCAGCTATTTTTATGAAATGACTAATACAATAATTATAAATACAAAGATCGAACATAAATATTTGATTGAATATAATTTTTTTTTATGGCAAGGTCGCTGGTTTATATCCAACCGGACCGAAGGAATTTTTCTTTCCCTTCAATCTTTGTATTAATAGTTAAAGTTATGTTTTAGAAATACAACTTACTTGGGCTTAGAATTTTCCGGTAAAAAGGAGTTAGCAACACTCAAATGCATGATAGCGTTACTGATTTTAACACCTTCCGTCCACGCTCCATTTAGAGATCCTTCTATCGTGTCACCGCTGGATAAAGTAAGGACTCCCTTACCAGAAAACACACCAGCCGATCTGAACTCTCCTTCGTAGTGTGTGCCGTCTTCAAATACCATGACACCGTGACCCTGGAGTACAATTATTGGTTTAAAGCTTGGTAACAGGTTTCTATTAGCTCAAGTATTTACAAACAACAATAATGACTGGGGCCTTGTTCAATTCAAAAACAATTAGAATCGCATCGACGAAACAATACTTTAGTATTATTATCGATTTGCACTTACTCCATACCATTATTACCAATGGTCGGAAAAAGCCGTTCCACATATATAGATAGATGTAAAGATATAGCGATGTTAAAAGACCAAATATTAATTAATTACTGTTTCGAATTCCGGCTTTCCGGAAATGGTTTTACTGCATCGTAAGACAAAACTACTGAACTAGGAATTCGATGATGTTGTTCTTTATTTTACTAAAGAGAGTAGTTAATTTCATACGAAAGTCCGGAATTCGAAAAAAATAATTAATTAATTAATATTTAGTGATTTTAACAGCTCTATCGCCCCTTGTAGCTATATCTATACATGTATACTATGTGGAACACCTTTTTCCGACCACTGATTATTACTCATCAATTTGGGAACTTCGAATTATATATGGTATGATTAATGGCAGATTTATTGATATTTACAGCAACTTAGTGATTTTAATGTTATCTATTATGTTTGTTATCTTAGGTCACTGATTGAAATACTAAATTTGATCTTCGTCACGACGTGTACAATTGTATTTTTATGATACTTTAAAATTTCATGCATATCGATAAGGAACAGCCGAGTCATTCTATTCATAGATTGTGTAGTGGATGCCAAGACAGTTTTGCTCGCTGCGCTACGATAAGTATTACCATGGACTAACTTAACACAAGAGGACTGCTAAGCTCCAGATACTACAGACGTAACTCCGAAAAAGGTCAAAATTCCGTCTTATGTCTAGATGGCGCTGCGCTGATCAATAGTCTGGGAGTTTTTATATTATGTAAATGGCTGTGGTTATCAATTAAGTCCTCTTTAATATGAAATATAAGAAATCAGTTTCTTCCTTGTAATAATATTATTCAAATATTGATCATGAGCCAAAATTATTTTCTAAACTTCGAAAAATATGCGTGTTAACAGATGGCATTGTGTCTGGTGTGACAAACAAATTTATAAATTAACGCTGCCTTAATAAATATGGGTAGATGTCGCCAATCCTAAACAAAATAAAAGAATAGTCGGCACATATCTGGGATCAGTGAAACGAGATCTACGTCCCGGGAGACGTATATCTCGGTCTCGATCTAATCGGTTTTTTCATACCTTATTTAGTTTCCAGTTTTATTTTTAAGCAAAATCAGCATAATTGATATTTTTAGGTGACAATAAAACTTTAGGTGCCAATAGATGATCTTTGCGATTTAAAGCTCTCTAGTGGCACTGCGACTGTTATGGATAAGCGTATCTCTTACTACCAGGCCTCACGACGCACGAGCACGACTTGTTCGTCCCGTCATTTGGTATTATAAAAAAAATAGCTCGAAAGTTACCGAAATGGTAATGCTCTTGTTATAACAAAGAAGGCATAGTTGGTGAATGCAGTATAAAGGTATAAGTTAAACGCCCCATTGCGTCATTGATAACGCTTCTTCAATGAATCATAACAAGTCGGAGAACTTTATGGGTTGAATGTCTTTATCAAGGTTTAAGTGATTACGAGAATAGCGAGCAAATAAAATGAGAAATCATTTCAACACTTTTTTAGTATGGGAAAACAGACAACATACATGTAATGTATATATAGTGTACGATCTGTAATGCAAAAAATGTCCGAGAGCCGTACTTTGAATAGTCAGCATCAAAGAAGCCGAAGCATCAAGTTAATCAAAAGTTTATATAAAGAGATCAATTTTACACATGATATATTCAAAGTGCTCAAAATATTCAGTTAATTTGACAAATGTCAACTTTATCACAAAGAAAATAAAATGTATTTAATATTTTAAAGCGCAAAACGATAAATGAAAACTGTAATTTGAATTAATTGAAATAGTGTTATTTCTTGTCAATATTAAGCTTATAGATAAAAAAATAATCACTTTGGATATGTAGATAAATGGATACAAAGATCGAACAAATTCAAAGAAAAATTCGTTCGATCCAACTCGACGTGAACCAGCGACATTTTCGTCTAACGCGCGTTATCGCTCTCCCAGCTGAGCTATGGAACGAATCAGCAGACATTACGAATCTATGTGCTTGCTGCAGATCTGTTTTAGGTTTTAACGGCTTTTTTGTCATAGCTCCTGTGTGAAACTATGAAAGTTTTTTCCTCACTCAGCCGGGTACCTTTACGGCTACCAGGGGCTGACAAGAGATGTCGCTTTATCAATTGCAATATTTATTTATATACTTTAAGCATAAAGATTGTTTGTCTCCAACTGTACATAGTACAAGGAATTCTCCAGAGTGGCCCAGTTAATTGGTGTCATTGTTTTGGCAAATACGAGTAGTTAGTTTGAGACGAGATAACAGATAAAACCGGCCTCATTTTGTTAAGCTTTTTGTATGTCACGAGATAAGTTTTGTATTCAATTTCCAGTACAGGAAATGAAAATAAGTTAATTTGGGTTGTGTTGCGTTTTAATGTGTACCTTAATATTCATCATCATCAACCCATTTATACGTCTCTTGGGCACGAGTGTTTTCTCTCGCTAGTCCGCCACACTGGCCCAATGCGGGTTTTCCGAGGGTTGTGAACCTTCGACGAGCAGGTTTTATCACGATGTTTTCCTTCACCGAGATGTTTCGGTACCATTGGTACCTGGCTATGATACCAGGTATCATCACCCAGGGCCTCAGCTTGAGAACCGATTGGTCAAGCCAATTAGGCAACCACAGCTTAACCTTACCCATAACCAACCCATTTAGACGTCCCGCTGCTGACCACGGGTCTCCTTCATGGTAATAAAATTAAAAAGAATAAAAAGTAATTAATTAAAATTGCAAATTATATCAATATTAGTTACGCATTCATTAATTGAAGGTGTTATTTTAGTTTCTCTAAGATTAAATGATATTTATTCAATTTGAAAATCACCTGATAGTGCATTACGATAATTTTTCCTTATCAAAACGCAAGCGAATTTTTGTTAGACTATTTATGTGCCTTGAGTTATATAAAATACAATGAGATAATATAAAATACATTCTCATAAAAAACCAATTGTTGAAGGCTACGTTTGCATTTTTTTTTTCATAAGCAGAAAGTAAAGATGCCAAACACTATTGTTGTAGAGCACTACTTAAAAAAGAATAATCAATTTCATCGCCATTAACAATCTAGCTCTAGCAATCAATCAGGCTCTAGTACTTCATTATACTGTCACAAAGCAAGACCCTAAGCACATTTCACTTATAAATAAATAAATATTAGACAACATCACATACAATGCTCTGATCCCAAAGTAAGTAACTAAAGCGTTTGTGATATGAAAGTCGGAAACAACGATGGTACCTCAAACACCCGGACCCGAGACAATATAGAAAAGTTAGTTAGTGTCTTGTGAAAGAGTTCGTCCAGGGTAGTACTGCCACCTTACGTATTTCTGCCGCCAAGCAGTAATGTCAGCATTACTGTGTTCCGGTTTTAAAGGGTAAGGGTGTTGGTGAAATTACAGGCACATGTGACTTGTCAACTTATGTCTCAGGGTGACGGGCGAAGTGGTAGTGCCCCTCAGAACTTTGCAATTTAAAGCTCTGAGTAGCACTGTAACTGTTATGGACAGGCGTGTTGCTCACCATCAGGCGTACGACTTGTTCGTCCCGTCACTTGATGTTATTAAAAAAAAAGTTTCTACACTGACCCGGCCGGGGATCGAACCCGGGATCTCAGAGATAGTGACATCGTTAAAACCGATGCGCAAACTACTCGATCACGGAGGTCGTCTGAACTCATGTTACCTTTTCCAATAAGTTTTTCTTAAGTAATTATTATTAACTAGAGCAACTGATAAATTAAAAAGCTAAACTGCACTTTATTATCAACTTACCATCAATTAATATTATCTGTACTTATAATAAGAATTAATTTTTCTATGAATGCACCTATTGTTCTTCTGAGTAGTTTGGTATTTTCCGTGATAAAAATTTAAAAAGTAGCTGCTAGCGAACTCACCGTGAGTACATCTTGCATAAATAATCCTTCATAGTAAATTCCATCTAAGGTAACGATTAATCCGCACCCGTGTTTCTTGTTATCACTCCAATTGCCTAAGTATTTCTCTCCTTTCAGAATGTCGTCCAAGACCCCGTAGCCTTGTTTGACTCCGTTGACCCATTCGCCAGTGTACAACGTGGCTGAAGATGATTTAAAATCTCCTAGTTTTTTAATGCCATGTCCATGTGGTTGACCGTCCTTAAAATAACCTTCATAGATATCACCATTTAGGTATTTTAATACGCCGTAACCGTTTTGGAGATTGTCTTTCCATTGACCTTCATATGTACCTTAAAAAAATATATATATCAGGGTCATCCAGATTAAACCAGAAAATATTTACATTAAAGCAATAATACTAGATAATTGAGACAATACTTACCGACGTTCGGTATTTCCATTTTCCCGTGTCCGCATAAAGCATTTAGCTGGAACTGTCCCACGTAAAGTTTCCCATCTGGCCATTCTATTTTACCATGCCCATGGATCTTCCCATCCAGCCATCTCCCTTGATACTTGGCTTCTTTATAAAAAGTAGCCTTGTTTGAAAAATTATAACTCGCTGTTCTAATAGCCGGCGGTTTAAACGACTCTTTATTCAATGCAGTTCGAATAGAATGGTTCAGGGCGTGAAGCCATTCGGTTTTCTCTTGCTCTGTGCTTGTAGTCACGGACAGAACTTCTTCGGGAGTTGTCAACTGTATGACGTTTTGTAACGATTCAGTATTTGAAACAGGTTCAACCCACATTGTTTGTAATGGATGCACCTGAGGGTTACTGCCACTTATGTGTATGAACAAATCATTAAACAAAACGAACCAATGTGAACTGAATCTTCCAGGGTTCACCAAGTTGAGTTGTCGTGATTTGGATTCTCTAATCAATCGCCGTTCAGGAGTTCGGTACTGATCTAGGCTTTTTCCAACGGTTTCCCAGAACAACTTTGTTATCTCGGCTTCTTTTCGATTTTTCTCTTGCTCCTCAATCAATGAGTCCAAAGATGATATGACCTTGTTCAGTCGTTCACTAATATTTGTCTTGGCATCATTGTTTTTCCGCTTGGTCCTATATCGCAACAGAGATTGTGCAATACATTTATACGAACTCAACCTTGTTAACGGTTGCACAAAAGCCAGCGCGACTATGGCTTCTGAAGTCTTCTTATTATTTTTCTGCTTGTTTGATGGCAGCTGATCACTAAATAAGTTATAAATATTTGTTGGGACATCAACAATAGTATTAATCTGAGCGAAACCTCCAATAACAATCAAATTATTTACAGCTACATAATACTTTTTGTACAAATAAATATATTCTTCTAAATTCCTTATTAAGGAAATATCACAATCATTTATATGTTTCTCGGCATATTGCCACATTGAGAGTACATTCAAAGCAGTTATGTTTAATATTTCACCAAAAGTATCACAAACCAAATCATAAATATTGGGATGTAGAGCAATTCCTTTGCTCTTCTTGACAAATGGTTTAACAAGTAAATGGTATATTGAAAGCATTTCTTCTAAATATCTTTGAGCAATGGAAAGGTCTTGGAACTCTGGTAATTTCATAGACTTTTCTATTGAGCAATAAGTAATATGTCCAGAGGACAGTATCCTCCAATGGTAACACATATTCTGGGGTTTGCTGGTGAAGCTTTGGAGTTCACTAATATCAGTAATTTCTTCTTTAACCTTCTCAGTCTCCATTTCTTCTAATTTATTATTTAAATTTATGATAGATTCAGTGTAACCATCTGTATGCTTTCCCAAATAGAAAACATTTTCATTGTGAGTATAAGCAAGTGTGTGGTGGTTTGTAGCTACCATATCTCTGACACGATCACTATCAGAATTCTCTGTGAACTGTTTTGGACCACTTTTGTCTTGTCGAGAGTCAAAACTAACTTGATGAAAATGATTATAGCCCCAGATAAAAAGCCGTCCATCTAACGTTAGAGCAGCACAGTGCCATTTACCACATGACACTTTTTGAAGTCCAAACCCTGATAAACTCATCACTACCATGGGTTTTACTCTTTTTACAGTGTCTCCAATTCCTAATTGCCCATATGATATGTCACCCCAAGTCCAAAGTTCTGTAGCTAAATTATTCTTTCCCAATTTTGACATATTTTTAAGATTCTCATTTTTCTTTGCTGTTTCAAATTCTTTCTCACTGCTTATTGTACTTGTTGAGAACTGTAACTCATCCATATTGCTATTAGATGTACAACTGTTCATGAGGGAATTAAGGCCTTCATTGTGCAAGCGCATATGCATCTCCACAGCTTCATTATTATCACTGCTCCCACTAACATGTCTTGATAGTGTTGCTACTTTGTCCCCCACTGTTTTTACACCTTCATAAACAAAGTTTGTTAGATTTGATACATTCTCTTTAATTATTCTAGTAGGTTTCTCAGTATATTCCACTAAGTAGTCTTCTCCAGCAGATACCCAAGAGAGTTGTCTGCTCAGAAACTGTCTTGCAGCATCAGTGTTTATAAAAATATTGTTAACTTTTTCTGTATTTGCTTGAGGGGTATCATCTTGTTTATCTATCTTGTCATCTTCACTGGCAAGGGTTTTTACATCATCTGATTTTCTATCTGCATCTAAGTTATTAGAACTACTTTTGTGACCAGTATTTGTTTTTGTGATTTTTGATTCTTCTGAAGATGGACTAGAATCTTCTGTAAAGCTGTGAGCATCAACATGGACATCTGTCTGTGGAGCCGTGGTACTGCTGGAGTCCTCACTAGACTTGCTGATTTGGACTCCAAGGGGACAGGTTTCTGATAGGGATGGCACAGATGCTGGGGACGCTAGTCCTATGATGGTCTGGCATTGTGAGCAATTTGATGCAAACACCTCTTCGTCTTCATTATCACTATCTGTGTCACAATTATCTGACTGCTTTACATTTTTTCTAGCTATAACTGCAGCAAAGTTCTGTCCTACAGATGCACTGTATACTGTCCTGCCATCGAAAAACGGGACCTTTTTAATACAACCAGTGTCTAATGATATTTGAGGCATACAACCGGAGCCCCATAGCTGCCCGTCACTACTGATAAAAAGTTGTCCAAAGTCATTAGTCACCACATTCCTGAATTTCACTTTGGAACTAGAACTTTTAAACCCATGAGGACAGCACTTTGCATCTTCCTTAACTACAATTTCTTCCTTATTTTTAAAAGTAGAATTTGTTTTGTATAATCTTCCATAGACATCAATAATGTAAAGGATATCATTGTGATATGATATATCTATTGCTGAAATGCCACTGATTTTCCTGAATTTCAAGGCATCTCCTTCAATGTCACAGTGATAGAGGCCATGGTCACTTCCTAATACAATAAAATCTTTACCAAGGGAACACAATTTTACGATTTTTTCAGGTACTTGTTGGGATGAATCGATATCCAACGGTGTTATTCCTCTCCAAAATTTGTGCCGATTCATTATTTGGAAACCACTTTCTATATAGGATAAAAAGTAGGTGTATCAACGATATTTTAATTGTAACAATGTATTAGGACGTTTTCACCCATCGTTACAGTCCTTAAGATTAACATAGTAAATTAATAATTGTTGCTAAATGTTTCACACATTATTTACAATTTGTTAAAGAAGTTTACAAAACCAGGTATTTTATCTTGTCTCAATTTTGATAAAACAACACTGACAATTTGGTGGGGGAATTTACGACAGGCAACTGACAAGTTCATAAAAGTTATAGAGAAAGTAGAATTTGCTTAGGAATTAGGGAAATAACTATAAAATTTAAGTTTAAATTCTACATTGTCTATGACACAAATGGTTGTCTTTGTCCCATTTGTGACGTCATGGGATTACTGAATTGAATGTGTTTTAAAAATAGTAATAAAACTTGTTACCTTTTGCAAATGTAAGAAAATAATACTATCTAAAATTAAACCGAGCTGTATTGTACTACAAACGAAATGACCATGGCTTTGTATCACGCCTTTACGGAAGAACCGATTGTATTTAAATAATTATTTTATTTAATGACTTTTTTTTCTTGATTTAAGGAGCCGAACTTAGGGTGAATGTAATTATTTTTAACATAAACAAAAATAATTTGCTAAAAATAGAAATAAACTGACTGACATAATATGCCTGCTGCACGGATTTATATATTTCATAAACTGGATCGCGCACTTCGATATACCAATATTACAAACTTACAGCTTATTGGATTATGTTGAAGTTTATTTTAAGTAAAAGTAAAAAACCGAGTCACATGGGATAGCTCACAGTAGTGGTCTGTCCTTGTTAACAAGTTGCCAACGCTAAATAAAATCATTTTAGGTAGTGTCTAGTTTATTAACTTTTTTAAATTTTGGTTAAATAAAATTAGCTTAAAGGTAATATGCTTTTACTGTAATAATACAAAAAAAATATATATATAATATATAAGCCTTCTATTCTGATTATGAATATATAAACCTTCTATTCTATTTTTCTATTATCAAATTTGCATATTAATTTGTATTATGAATTAATATTAGTAGTTTTGGTCATTCATAAGCCGCCACATTTTCTGTAAAAATTAAAAATTAAAAACAATATGGCTGGCTAAAACATGAGTGAGCACACTATTAGAAAGAGACGCATTACTACTATGAAGGCTCTCACTCGGCTCGTTTTATAAACTTTTTCAGAACTGTACTCAATGCTCAAGTCAGGATTTGAGCAGAATTGAGTATGATTTCAAGCACTGGAAATACGACTCTAATGGTAAGGACTTGAGTATGATTTTCAGTGCTCACTGCAGTACTCAAGTCCTGACTTGAGCATTGAGTAGAGTTCTAGAATACGACCCTAGGTGCGCGGTCCAGTTTAATATACAAGTCCGTGGTCTGCTGAACATATACATATATTTTAATTTATTGAGCATTGCATTGCGTATAAATAATAAAAAAAGAAAGTATTTACAACGGGGCAAAAGTGGCTGATTATTATTATTGTTTATTTGTTGAGCATTGCAACTCAAAACGTAATAATAATTAAATTAAAATAAATTTGTGAAAAAGCTGTACATAAACAAATAATCAAGAAACGCACAACGTAATTTACATAAACTAAAAATAAATTCGTGTAAAAAATGTAACTGCTAAAACCCGCCATTTTCTTTTTTCTAATTATTATTGTTACAACCCACCTTGATCGAGGCAAAATTAAGTATGTAGAAGAAAGAGATAGCACTCTATAAACAGGTAGTCTTTTGTTTGTTGCTATTTTCTCAGTCTTGTCGTGTACAGATATAATTAAGCGATTCTTAAAAAAAATAACTTCAAAATCGAGAAGTTCATTGACTCGCTTGTTCTTTATTGTTAAAAATGGCGAGTCGAGGTGGTTCGGCTAGGCGTGTTCCTGAAACTGAGGCAACAATTACGTACGTGCAATGCGATGGATTGGTAAGTTTTGAGCCCAAAAAGGTTTTGTATAGTTTAGTTCAGTAATATTGAAAAGTAACCTCAAGGCAATCATGCCAGCACATCAGCGTATGTTTTCGCATTTTTACGACTTATTACAACAAACTCCTTCTCTTATAAGTTAATTTTCTGCAAGTATTATGCTTCTAATTTCGTAACATATCCAAGAAAGTTTTTGAGACTATTTTAACCAATTTTATGTAGGTTATATTTCTTGTACTTTTAATTTAGTTTGCCACAATACAAACAAGATTAATTTTATTTTCTCTTAAACCTAATTTTCAAAAAGTGAATGCTCCCGCACCGCCCTTTGAAACAATAGGGTTTTCTATCGCGTCTTGATTGTTTACAGTAATTTTTAGCAATGACTCATTCGAAATCTTGCCAAGTTGACGATTCTGAGTGATTATTGATAGTTTTAATGATGATCTCAATATCAATAAAGTGTAAAAAGTGTGATATCATGAGTGCAAAGAACTTTGTAGACATTGTGATGCAAATGCAGTGGCAAACAGCTTATTTTGTCTATACCACTAGTTGAACAACTGAATATGAATTCAATTTTTAAACTTCTTTTATCATTACTTTATTTATATGTCTTGTGTTAGCTTAAAAGAATTGAACTGTGTAGGTTACATACATACTATAAGCTGAGAACAGGTAACTCTTGTAACCATACATAGCTCGTGCTATTCTCTAATGGGCGTAAAAAATTCATTGCTGAGCAATCATATGCCTCAGCCAGAGGAGGGTAAAAAAAATGGGAGCAGGAAGATTTTATGGTTCTTTAATTCTGCTGGTTTTGATCAACTGCTGGTTGCAGTGGCAACCGTTAGTTGCGCAGAGTGCAACAGGAAGTGAGCTCCAGTACTTATCTGGAACATAGGGAGAATACTGTACACGTACCCGGGGTGGCTCATCTAAGGCACTAGCCTTCTGAAAACCGGATGAAGTCCATGCAAACAGACTGATCTGGGGTCATGGGGTCTACTCTCGATCTCCGTCCGACATCCTTCCGAAACAATTACTGTCAAATAAGTATTATTCGACAAAATTAAAAGACAAGAATCAAGAATGAAGCTTCATTCGCATCACGCGTCTTTTCATTTGGTCAAGTATTGCTTATTTGGCAGTAATTGTTTCGGACGGATGTCGGACAGAGATCGAGAGTAGACCCCCAGGACCTGACTGAGTAGGTCCCTGAGTGGGCTTACTTCTTCAGGAGTGCCCTTCCCATATAACCAAGAGGTTGATAGGGAGGGTCACTATGAACAAAATTTATGTAAAAAAGATATGAGAGCTGCTGGTTGCAGTGTTGAATGGCGGCATAGGCTCTGAATTAGCCACATTAAGAATCTTTAAATAGATATCTGAAATAATAATAATATAGAGTTTAAGGCTGCAATTTTTAAAACAAACGCGTACTAAGAATAAGCAAACAAGTGTCCTGTATTTACAAAACAAACTTTGTCTAAGTTTAATTTAATTTATCACTGCAAAGTGATAAATTAAATTAACTTTTAAGTTTATTTTTTGCAATTTCTTGCTTAGACTTGGGGAACATTCATTTTGTAAATGTGAAAAACTTGTTTAGCTCGTTATTTAGGCGAAATCAAAGTATGTTGTATTATAAATCTTAATCTTAAATAGATAATAATAATAACAAAATTATTGTTATTAACCTCTGCACTAGAATTTTATCAGTCTGTATTCTGAATTGGTCATTGTTTACAAAAATAAGGTTGTTTCTTTTTTCTTACTATATAAAACGACAGAATTGTTTAACAATTCCAGGCGGTGATGAAAATTGTCAAACACTGCCATGAGGAATCATGCAGCAACATGGAAGTGGCTCAGGGAGCCCTTCTGGGCCTTGTGGTGGAGAACCGTCTGGAGATCACCAACTGCTTCCCGTTCCCAAAGCATGATGATACCATGGATGAGGAAGAGTATCAACTTGACATGATGAGGAGACTCCGGCGAGTCAATGTTGATCATTTTCATGTTGGATGGTTAGTTTTCTGCAGACCAAACTAATATGCTACAATTTCTCCTTGACCCAGCACCCATGCGGGTTTTAAGAGAAGGTCTTCCTTCACTAAATAATTTTTTTTTAAACATATATGTTGTATAAGTTTCTGAAAATGTATTTTTGTTCTACACCGTTTTACACTTTAGATTGAAAAACAACTGTAAGCTGCTTGCAGTAAGAATGGTGCAAAGTCCAAAGTGTCAAGCTTCATGTGCTCTTGGTTGTACCTACCAGGGTTGTTGCGTATATCAGCATCTGTGAGCAATCTGCATAAATTAAAATATCCGCATCCACTTCAGCATCTGCAGTCATCGATGCTGATATCCATTGCGGATGTTCAAGTTTCGATTTACAAATCTTCCAGTAACAGACTGTAAGCAGAAAAACCAGTGCAGCTGTTGTTTTTGAATTATAACTTTGATAAAATTCTATAATGATTAAGCTAGACACTGATTGTTTTCATGCAGATTGATTCTTTTGTTAATAAATGTCACAAAATCATTGAAATACTATTTTATTACAATACCAAACAAAATATGAAGCTTTTTCATGTAGATACATTCAGTAAGGATATACAGTATTCATGTTGAAAAAAAAAAATCAACATCCGCATCAGCAACTGCTTATGTTAAGGTTAAAACATCCGCTTCGGCTGATGTGTCAAAAACCTGCATCAACAACAACCCTGGTACCTACCTGCTTTCATTTATTCTGTTGCATAAGAAAACTGAGATATATGCATTATGTTTCAGGTACCAAAGTGCAGATGTAGGCAACTTCTTAAGCCAGTCACTGCTAGAGTCGCAGTACCATTACCAAACGTCTATTGAGGAGAGTGTAGTGGTCATCTATGACACCAAGAAGTCTGCTAGGGGATTCCTTACGCTGAAGGCTTATCGCCTTACTCCTCAGGTTAGTTTATATTGATAAATTTATGTAATTAAGTATTGTCTAAACATAAGTACTTGGTCCATAAAAACCCTTGTTGTTATTTGTGGGATGATCCAAGAGGTCGTGACCGTCAGGATAGCTGGACCAATCGACATATACAAATAAAATTTTGCTCATTATTTACTACCTATTTTCTACTATTTAGTACCTTTATTGACATTTATTTTTTACCTTTGCACTAATGGAATTATTAAAGAAATAAAGTGGCCAGCCATTCTGACGTCAGGTTGGCTGGACCATTTTACTTTTTCCATGGTTCTAGCTAGTTCTAATTTACTTTTTGTATATATTATTTAAATTATTGTATATATATTGTATATATATTATTTACTACCTAACTTCTATCTAAACATACTTTTTTTCACTACTTTGCAAAAGGTATCCTCTAAATAGACAGTTTATCGTAATTGACCCTTGCTCTGTAACCACACTTCTCGGGAGACGTGTGTGCTCTTGTCCAGAAAAGTGAGCTTTGCCAGGTTGTATCCATCCCTAAAAGTGTTTTATTATATCATAATTTAACTTTGGTTAGTGGGTTTTATTATATCGTAAAATTTTATTTACTTGTGGATTTGTCTTTAAGTTTTTGCTATGGTAAGGGGTCCATAGCCAAAATAAGTAATGGAACCATTGGTCTAAACTGAGGTTAACCAGGATATAATTTCTTTTGACCAACTTGGCAGTTTGGTTCAAATTTACAAGACTAGTTGAGTATTACAACATATATTATATGCAAAGTGCTGAAACAAAGCAATATATTTTTGGTCATGGCAGTTTAACAGGCTACCATGTCTACCATGTTACCAGTCAATAATATATATAATATATATATATATATATATATATATATATATA